GATTTTCACTACAGTGATCTTATCACAGATTTCCTTCCTTCCTGCCATCTTGTTCTGGCCTTCTTCTGTACTTGGCCTGATGGTCAGTCACCACACTCGACTCTAGCTCCCGCCTCCACTGTCATAAGCCCATGGTTGGAAAAGACCCCAGTGAAATCCAGGGCCCCGTTGACCACCCATGCTTATGCATATTAACACAGCTGGAGAAAACACAGCTCTGTCGAGTGGCCTGCTTCATCTGAAGTTAATGGTTACTCGCTTTGAGTGGGTAGGTGTGGTTTTCATGCTGTCATACCTTCTCTTCTCTTTTTTAATACCCAGCACCTACATTCCTAGCACTCCCAGCTATAATTTTGCCTTCTATTTTGCCATTAAAAAATCAAGAAATCAGAAGAGAATATTCACTCAGTCCACCTCTCTCCCCTTAGGTCTACTTGTGTTCATAATCCTCTATGCCCCAAATTTGACCCTACCCCACACAAGACCAGATATTCTTGTGAATGAGTCCCCACCTCGACATCAACTGCTAAAGCAAACTGCTCAGGGATCCCTCTGTACATCCGAAGTGTTCAAGAAATGTCTTCAAGTGCAACTAATCAAGTTGGTGCCAAGAAAGGGAAAGACATTCTAGAAAATAAAAATGAAGAAAGAAGGAGCCTGCAGATCTCTTAGGCACAGTACACTCACTTATGCTTTATTGTTGTGATTATTAAATTGATCTATTTATTTTTTCATCTACACTTTCACTTATTCACTCATGTGTTCATGGATGGAGCACTGACTTTGTGTCAGGCCTCAGCTCAGCTGTAATACAAAGCAATGATGAAAACAGAAAAAAGTGTTCGCTCTCTCAGGCTGACTTCGAGAGCAGGAACAATTGATAATGTACTAAGTAAGATGCAGGGGATGAGGAAGACTGCAAGAACTACAGGAAAAAGAGATCAGGGTGGAAATAAAATAAGTCCAGGAAGGGGGGTTGCAATTTCAGAGTATGACTAGGGAAAGACTCCCTGTCAAGAAAAAGGAATCAGAGTAGAGGAACTCATCATTCATCTTTCATCTAATAAACACTTAGTGGCAACTCTTACGCCAAACTATAGACACAAATTTAAAATAATGTAATGTACGCATTTGTGCACTGCATTGGAGTAGTTTCAACTTTTATTCAGGTTGATGCCAAGCTTCAAGTTTTAGCTTCTCCGACAGAAATTACTACATTTAGCACTAATTGGGCCTGAGTAAGACTGGGCTAAATTAGGGCTCAAACACAGACTCTGTCTCTCTCACCTCCCTGACACCCTGCAGACAGCTAGGAGGTAGGGCTCCCTTTCTGTGTTTCACTGCACAATCTTGGAAATGGGATGGTGACCAAACTGGCAAAACCAAAGGTCAGTAAGGAAACAGGCAGGGCTGAGGTGGGCATGTAACTAAAGAGCACTGGCCTAGCTTGCAGCAGGTCCTGGGTCTGATCCCCAGCATGAGAAATAAATAGGATTCTGTGGCTTGGTGCCCTGGGCTTGTGCTACCGTGCACATGCTTGTCATGGTGGGCTTAGCCTAGAGAATCGATCCAGAAAGGAGTCCCACAGTTCTGACCCAGGGCAAGGATTCCACGGGGCCACCTGTGCCCTGCGCCATTCTCCTGGCCTGTGCCCAGGGCGCCTTTGCTGGGAAAAGACACACTGAAGAAAGCAATGATTTGTAAATGGTTCCATCACCTTTTGACAACCCATACTTATTTTTCATAGATTCAGAAAGGGAGATAAAAATGCACAGTGAATAACTTGTGTCAGAGCCTCAACTGTGTTCAGTAAAATGCCTCCAATAAAATATCTGGAATCTCTAAATAACTCAAAGCATTAAGCAGGCATCATTTAGAAGTTATTGAAAATTTCTTACTTATCACTTAAAATTGAACAGATGCAGTAAATCAGTGGTCTTCAAAAATTTCTAATTTTGAAAAACTGTATCTTATACATTTTGACAAAGGATCAAAATTTTCCTTTGATATACATGTTTAAATAATTGCAAAAAATGTCATTTCTAGCATGTTATAAAAATGGACATTTCAAAATATAATTTATACACCACTAAGTATTTATACCTTTTGTATGGTCTTTTAAGTGTGCTTTCAATAATTTTTTTCCAATGAAAATTTTAATTTTTCCATTTTTCTTTAAACCTTTATCCATTTCATTTCTGGCTTAGAAAGTAAGTGCTTATTATCTTGCCGTACTTCTTTGAAAAACAAAGATATGTATTTTTTAACTTCTGTCACAATTAGGACCAAGAACTTACTTCAAAAACAATCTGGATAAAGTTTTTATCCAATTAATAGTATAATACACTTCAAATTCTAATATATATTAATCACATAATCCAAGATTTAATTAGAACCATATCTCTGCAGGATATCAGAGAGGGTTTTGTTTGTTTTTCAGTTGCTTTGGGTATCCATGGATACCTGTTATTTTTGAATACAATGAGATAGGCTTTGTTTCAGCATCCATTCGATTTTAATCTCTTAGTAAGAATATTTACTGAGAAAATATTTGCACATCAGTGCGTACCTAGGAACGCAGCAGATTTTGTTAAGTTGCGTTTACTTCTTTGAACTGTGGGTAGAATTCAGTGAGAAAAACTGCATGAGAATCTAACTGTTAAACCTAATGTTAGTGACCTGTCAGCTTTACAACTTTCCCAAGCTCTCCACTTACATCAGTATATATGCAAGCATATACACTTTCACATACAATGTGCTGTATCATAATTTACTTAACAAAGACCATTGTCCGAAAATTTCCTTTGTACCCAAATGGAGCGTTTAACTTTTGCATAAAATTATAATGAAATAAAACGAATCACATGAGTCAAGGCAGAGAAGCTCGTGATGCCACGACTTTAGCAAGGTAAAGCTTATGCATTGAACAGCTACTGGTGTTCATGGCAGTGATTCCCCTAATTTTCTTCTGACAAACTATTGAAAGAAATTAGATGTTACCAGCCCCAAACTAAAATTTGAGCTGTAACTTAAAATGTAACATTTTATTTATAGAGGATATTATTGAAGTTCTTCAAATAATGTCACAATATTGTAACTGTTTTTTTCTTTTGAGGTGGTTTCTCCCTAAGTTGCCGAAGCTGGGCTCTAACTAGAAATCCTTCTACCTCAGCCTTCCCAAGTGCTGAGATTATGTATTTATTTAGTGCGTGTGTGCAGTGCGTGCTGATCACACTTAACATGGACAAATTTGTACACTTACACAACACTTCTTAATTCTGCGTTCATCCTCTTCCCCTCTCATCCCTCTTTGCTCTTTCTAACTCTTGTTCTGCTTCTGATTTGCAATAGCTCAGTTTCCATTTTCCGCTTCAACTCTCTTGTTTCATCTCAAGTCTATTTTATTATTAATGAATTATTTTCTTGTTGCTAAAAGTTCCCATTCTTCAGTGGGGAGGCAGAATCTTAATTCAAACGTGTACCCTGTTTCAGACTTACAGCCTGCTATCAGTGAACCTGAGCAAAGATGAGAAGGATGCTGAAACCTCAGTCACGGTCTCCCCGGAAAGCACGTCATGAGAGCTTAGTTTGGACTCTCGTGACAGTGTCACTGGAAAGCTGAAGCAGGAGAACCCGCAGTGCTCTTGCCTGCTGCAGCTCTAATCCCTGTCATTAAGACAGCGTGGAGTGATGGCATTTCTATGCACACCCAGAAAAATCCCTAGGGATGAAGCACATCCCATGCTACTCAGTCATCTTCAGCTCTCCACGTACAGACAGAAAGGGTTTTAAACACTATCCTTGGTGGATCCTTTTCTTAGCAACTGGCTAATCTGAAATAACCACAGGAGCTCTACCCTATTGCTCAGCTTTCAATTGTTTGATTAAATTTAACTTGCTTGTCTTCACACCAGCGCAGGTATGGCTTCAATATCCCAAGAAGGAATATGTTTTAGAAGTTGGTTTAACTTATAATCAAATGCTGAAAGGGACTTTCGGCTACAGAAAATTTAAGATTATTGAGTGGCCTTGTTCTTGGCGGGGGCCAGTTCACCAGGAAGGCTCTCTGCATTCAGCTGGAAGCTTCTCAGCTCCTGCATTTTAGCTAAAGTTTCGTTTTCTCTCCCTGCAGTTGGAACTCTATCTCCTTGTACATCAGAAACCAAGCATGAACCCCAGGCATCCCGAGCTGAGCAGACCTTCGCACAGTCCCCAAATATTGATGCGCAGCATCTCCCAGTTTCATTCTTCTCCTTTTCACAAGCTGGGGAGGAAGTGGAGAAAATGCGCCAGGTTGTTACTCAACTCTAGTATTCAGTCAGGTATTACTTGCGCACTTCTGAAACTCTCTAGCTTCTACACTGAGAGTAAAAGCAAACAGAACACAGGATGGAAACTACTTCACCAAGTAGGCTGCCAGGATTACTGAGGACCGTAGAGGACATTCTCAGACTTCCCCAGATCCCCTGCATTCCCCCAGCGCCTGACTTCAGCCCTGGTGATGATCTCTAAGGTTGTACACAGCTTTCTCAAGGATCCCAGCACACATCCGTGCACTTTGCGCTGAGTGTGACTTTCTGTAAAGCTGATTTCTATGCAGTGCAAGCCGAACTCTCATTACTGACCCCTATGCATTCTCCCCATTGAGGCTTTCTGTGCTCAAGCACGGCCACCGGCTATGGGACGAGAAGGTCTGCATACGAGTTAGGCTGCCATGGAGCTGGCTAAGACAACAGGTGCAGAGCCTGACGCCTTAGAGTTTTTTCACCCACAGAGAGGAAACCCAGCATGTCTCAGAAATTCCTGATGCACCTTAGGAAGGTACCAAAACTTCTAGCCTGTATTTTGCTTGGGGGGAGAAATGGATACCCTTGTTTTGGCACTGTTGTGAAGAGCTAACCTGCCCCAAAGTTCGAACAACCGACCTATGAACACCGGAGGGCTGGACTCTTTTTTTTCCCCTTTTTTGTTAAAGGCCTGAATGAGGTGATATTCTACGAGTGCTGAGCCTGAGGAGCAGGTCCGTCTGGTTTCTGGGTGCTCTATTACACCAGCAAGACAGAGCCAGCCAGCCCCACCCAATTCTGTTTCTCTGGCACCCTCCCCCTCAGAGCCACTCTCTCACACTTAACCCATTTCTTTTCTCTTATGCACCAAGCAGGACAACTGGGATAGTTCACTTCCCAACTAGAAACACCTGCTGGCCCTGAAGGTAAGTGTGTGTTTGCCATGTCTGCTTGTTATTTAAAGCGCTCCCTCCCTCCCTCTCTCTCCCTCTCTCTCTCTCTCTCTCTCTCTCTCTCTCTCTCTCTAGTTAGCAGTGAGAATCAAAGCAGCCTCAACCCTTGATAGGACTATCTGGCAAGTAGCTACAGAGACCCTGGTAAAAACAGGTTGCTGTTGATTAGGTAACTGTTTTCTAAACAAGCTTTTGTGTTGTTAAGTGAGTGAACTTTAAGAATTACTGCCAAAGTTGTGAGATGATAAAAATTGCAGAAGAGTTAAAAGAAAGCCTTATTGAAAATTTATGTGGCTACAATATAGAATTACCCTGAGTCAGGCTGTAAAAAGGTATCAAACTTTTAAAAGTGGAAAATGTTCAATATAAATGTAATACTTAGATCTACATTATACATTTGGGCTTAAAGCTTCTTATTTTAAGTACTAGAATTTAATAGAGCTCTTTTTTAAAAAAAAATACTCTCAACATGAATTGCAAGTTTGGATACATCCCTTTCAAAGTTTTTTTTTAATTAGTTAGGAAAATGTTATAAGTATAATTAATTTCTTAGCATAAAGAGAGTTCAAGTCCAACACTCACTGGGAATTTAAAGACCAAGGGAGTTACTGCAAAAGATATCCATGGAACGAAGACCCGAGCACAGCTTCCTGGCATTGCTTTCAGTTTCTGAAGAAGGCTCCTTTCATTACCGTGTTGCTAATTTCTCATTAATCCACTTTCAATCTGATCCAGAAAGGTTGTTGCTACAGACTGTGAAATGCGTGAGACAGCTGAAAACCTCATGCTTGGGAATTTAGATCCAGAATATTTTTTGGAAGCACAGTCTTTCTGAGCTTGATAGTCATCCATTACTGTTTTAAGTACTGAAGTTTATGACTCAGAATTGCCTAAGCCAGTAGTATGGCATTCTGTTTTTTTGCCCCTTGATTTATGCATATCCAAGTCTTTTAGTTAGAATGACATTCACAATGTTTTGAAATTGTTTTTTTTTTCCCCTGAAGGAAAATTGTTTTGTTTTTTTTTTGAGACAGGGTCTCAGTATGAAGTTCAGGTTGGCCTTGAGCTCACTTTGTAGCCCAGGCTGGTCTCGAACTTACAGCGATCCTCCCGCCTGAGCCTCCCAAGGGCTGGGATTACAAGCATGCACCACCATGCCCGGCTGAAAAAATCATTCTTTCCATTCTTTCTTTCCTTTTCCTTGTGTTCTTACTCAGAGAAAAGTGAAGTGACAGACATAAGTTTCTCTGACTTTCTGGATTCTCACCTTTCAAAATCCTTTTACTAGAGACACACTTTTAGAAACATAATTTCTTATGAGCTCACTTACCATAATTCTTTCAGGTAGAAAAAACAAAATATTGTCCAAGATTGGAAAGGCCATTCAGAAGAACTCTAGTGTTCAGGTTCTGCCTGGGATATGAATATGTCAGACTGGGCTTACAGAAAACAACAACAAAACACAAACAAAACAAAAAACTGCACCTATGTATCTTCATCGATAGCCTGGAATCCCTAACAAGAAATGGTCAAGAATAACTCGAAGAAAGGGTGCTACACTGTCTACACATTCGCCATTTCCACCATAGGAATGTGCCTATATGATCCTTACAGTATAACTGAACTGATGTTTATTTAAAATCGCTCATTTTGACATGGTTTTGAATGACTATCATTTCTTTCTTCTTGCACAGCCAGATTACCTGTCAGGAACTAGGGCATCTCCTCGTTCTTAAAGCTTGGTGTAAAATGCGTACGACTCAGTTACAGCAGGGCGGGTGGGCAGAATGGTGGCTTTTTGCGTTTAAGACAAAGCAAAATTACATCTAGATGCAGGTTTGTTCCCTTAATGGCCAGAGTCCGTTTTCCCCATCACCTCTGTGGCCTCCACACAAAAGCAGAATGTGAAACCACTTTCGGTGCCAGCGCCAAGGAAAGCAGAGAAAACAGTGTTCACTCTCTCTGTGCAGAACTGTTCACAACGTGAAACTCACTCATTTGGAGAGCCTACTTTAAAAGTTGTTAAATATTGAAAAGCAACAGAAATATCTTAATATATGCAGGAACTTTTAGAATCTATATTTCCGATTTCACAAAACAGCTGGAAATCCTTTTTTCTGCCCTCTTTATGATAATTCTACCTTCTAAAATTTTATTTTGTATTAGTACACACTTGCCATACACATTAATCACGTTTGCCATAGGGAATTTGTACCTGTACATAATTCTAGATGTGTCTTAAGTTTCTGGTGTTCATAGCTTGGTTCCTGTGTATACCTCAGAATTCCTTTGGTGCTTATACCCCCTCATTACTACCACTTATATATAAGAAGGGGCAAAGTGCAAGAGGAAAACTGATGCTGCTTGGTTCTCCTAAATTTCTCTCCTTCTAAAATTTCACTTTTGTTTCTTTCACCTTCTGTCTGTACCCACAGGGCGTTCTCTAGCCCACTGTTCATAATCCACCATAATTCCAGCTTTGCATAACACATATACAGCATCATTTTAATACCTGAACTCTAGAAAGGTGGAGAACCTGAAAAAAATGCAAAGAGGAAACAATACATAGGTTTCATTTATGGCCCTCACGGCCTTCATAAGCACTCTATTAGCTTTTGCTGTTGATAACATGTTTTGTAGGATTCAGGATGAAGCACACAATCCATATCTTTGCCCTTGCTCCTACGAGATGTCAGAGCCACAGTTCTGAGTAGCTGATGATTTCAGCTGGCGGCTGCCTCTACCCGTATCAGATGAAAACTGTTTGAGAGGGGTATAATAGGTCTCTGCAACCAGGTCAGGACAAGAGGAATAAATCAGCCCTCACCAAAGCTCCGTCCATGGCTGTCCTAATTTCTGAATAGACAGTGAATACAATTCAAGTGTACTGTATTCTCCCTTGCCTCGCTTTCTTTGCTTTTCTCAGGAGGTAAGTTATAGGCAGTCATAGAATACTTGGCACCTTTGGGGCATGGTTTTCAAATTACAGTCAAAGGCTTGGGAGAGCAATGAGGTCCCCTGTGCGTTCAGTGTTGCAGAGAGGTCAAGCAGGAACAACAGAACTCAGTTTTTTGGCTCCAGCATGTGGATTCTCGTTACCCGAAGGCCGTGAAAAAGCAACGCCATGTTCCTCAAGGGACACTCTGAAAAGAAACCTGGAAGGACTATTTTTTCTATTGTGATGGTCACTCTTTAGGAAAAGAAAATAAGCAAAATGCCTAGATTGCGGGAAACAAAATCCAACTGCCGAACAATCATAGAAAAACAGTGGCCAAATGTAATTCAGAAGGCAGAGGGCCAGGTTGGCAAAGAGCTCTGGAGTTCAGAGGAGAAGGGAGTTTCTGAAAAAGTGCACACCCCTCCCTAAGCTGCAGTGAGCTGTACGTGCCATGAGCTTGGTGAGCTATCTGCTTAGGCAAAGTGTTGGTCAACCGTAGGTCCTGAGGATGCGCACTCGTGATTGGTTAGTGTTAAGCTATAAACCACATGGTGACAGTGTCCACTGAGAAACCACAAGAACAGTTACAATTTCCCAAATTGGGCAAGTGGGTATTCTATGTATTTCAGAGATACTTCAGATAGAAGGCCTCGTATTTCTGGGGTTTCGAAAAAATGCTAATCGTCTGCTCTGTTTGAAATGATTAAATTTGGAGTGGCTGTGCTTTAAAATACGTTGGTGGGAAGAAAATCTGAAAAGCAGCTGAACACCAAATTCTACACTCCTTTGCAGCTTCTGTTACAAAAATGAGTACAGTTGGTCTCTGTATCTGTGGAATCTGTATCCATGGAGTCAGCCAAATACAGATTAAAATATGCAGGTAAAAATTACAACTGTACTGGACAGACATACTCTCATTATTCCCTGGGAAATACAGTATGTCAATAATTTATATTTATATACATTGCATCAAGTATTACAAGGACTCTGGAGAGGATTTAGGTACATGAGAGGATGTGTAGGTTATAAGGAAACAGGATTATATATATAAAATATACTTAATATTATATTATATATATTATATATAATATACTTAGCAGACTTAACTGTCTGCTAGTGTGGGTCTCCTCATCAGATACTGACCCCATCTCCCAAGGAGGCCAAGGGAGGGTGGCACACACACTAGTTTTAAGTCAGACATACAAGGACTTGAAGCCTAACCAGCCTTCTAGTCACTTGAATGTGAGTGCTTGGATCCATCATTCATAGAATTTATGGCCCACCTAATCATCGGTAAGTGGGATTGTGAACCTTTCCTTGATGTTTGTCTGATACTCTCGTTAAGAATTAAACAGAACACAGGTAAAGCCTATGGTGTAACAAGGACCAGATAGTGACATGTTTTCCAACAGTAACATATTTTTCAATTATGATAATAATTTTTAGCCTCTAGACCAATTTTATTGGATATTGCAGGAAAGTGAATAAAATATAAGTAAGGAGAATTACCACAAATGTGAATACCTGTGAATTCCTGATGATATCAAGATATAGACCGAATTTTTCCAGCACACAGGCACCCCTTCTGTACCTCCAGCCAACCATTTTTGTCTTCCCACAAGGAATCACTCTCTTGACTCTAACATTTGGGCTTTTTTGAGTATGCTTTATGCATATGAAATCATACAGCATGCCTGGACTTAAAGCCCTGCATTGTACTTGTCATAATGGCCCATGTGGCTGGAGAAGCTCTAATTTGTCCTTGTTACCCAATCTGTTACTAGTGGATGTAGAAGCTGGAGACTCATCAATGATGTTGCTATGAATACTGTTGTGTGACTACCTCCTGCTTTGCAAGGAGACAATGCTTAAGTGGTTGGCATGGAGTGTGTGTGGAATATATCTTGAAGATATGGCCTGCTTCCTAAAAGCTTCTCAGGAAATTATTACATGAGGATATGTTACTTATATATTTGAGTTGTACCACACTGTGTGAGGCCTTATTAAGGAAAAGGGAGGCAGAAGTGCTTAAACCCGAAAGATAATCAGACTCTTTAGAGGCTCCTAGGCCCTAATGAAAAACAAGGAAGGATAAAAATAGTCATGAAGGTTTCATGGAGGCTCTGATAGGGAACCTAGAGTAGCAGCTGCATCTCCTTCTGTTTCCCGGGCCCACCAGCTTGAAGGATTGTAGTGTGAAATAAGGTCCCATTCAGAGACTATAAAAACAGTTCTTACATTTTATTGTTTGAAAAGGAATGGTCTAACTTTTTAAAAAACAATTTTAAGAAGAAATAGTCTCAAATTTTTTTTTAAATAAAATTTCAGTTAAAAGTGCCTTCAATGTTGGCACAAAGAAGACTTGGCAGGGAGGGACGCCACTTCTACTGACTAAATTTCACTCAGGGTACTCTGGGCCTCAGGTCAGTCACCTGCAAAGCGTGCACCGTGTAAACTGCACTTCTAGTCTCAGAAGGGCGGGACGGCTGTGAGGGCTGAGGCACCGTGTCAGACGGCAGAGGCTCGAGAGAGACATGAGAATGCCGCAGAACAGAGCTTGCTGCTACCAAGGGCTTCCCGTTGGCCGGAGCTCATCAGAGTACTTCTTCCTCCGCCATCTTGCTTGGTTCTCAGAACTGGTTGGTTTGGTTCCTCTCATGATGATGTAGCCGAAGTTTATTATAGCGATCATTGTAAACAGGTCTCTTACGACAGAAGCCATAACTGTAATATAAACCTGACCCAAAAGTTGTCTCTGTATCTTTGTGTTCATAAACTGTGACACCTCTACAAGGAGGCAAAATGACGGGCTTGGATTAGCGTTCAGGACCGTGATTTTATCCCAATTCTAACTTCGTGAAGTCTTCACATACACTCAAATTCTTCATTTATCCAATAAAAGTGTAAGCATAGTTAGTATCCTAAAATCTGAAAATCTTTCTAACTCTTCCCAATTTGAGATTAAGTAGAAGGGCCTTGTGAAGTTAAAAGTATTTCTTTTAAAAACCAGATGTTACTTATAAATCTGAATAGCTCAAAATAGATACTAATAAAGTAGACTCAAGGGAGTTTCAAACTGACAAATTTATAGAATTACACATGACACATTTAGTGTATGATCAGTAATTCATTTTCAGAATTAATTCTAAAATTATTTTATGAAGAACATATATTCTTGAATAGGTTTAAGAAAACATGGATATGTACACATCCTATATTTATAATATTTTTAAAAATATTATGTCACTAAATGATCTTTGAAATAGTACTGTTTTGCTTATCACGTATTTTCATAGCATTTCCCTAGAAGGAAGAAAAAAATGTTATATAGAAAATGGAAAGAAATGTTATATAGACACTAGTTTAAATGTTTAATTCTCTCAAAACACAACTGTTTTTGGAATAAATAATTTGATGCTATCATCTCAACATTGTGTCTCTAAATTTTTATCACTTAAAAATGTAGTTGCATAAAAAACTTAAAATACTCAATTTAATAATTCAAATGATTTTTTTTTTCAGATTCCTCTTAGTAAAGCCAATAGGAAGGAAGGCTACAATGTTGACTTTAGCCCAAACTGTGCTGATTTCAACTTTGTTTATTTCACCACCCTTTGAGAGCCACGAGATAGAAAATCTAGAAAAGAGCACAACACAAAGCACTGCAGAAAACTGGAAAACCAAAGAACATAAACTCATTTTGGAAAGAGAAGCAAGAGCAAATGTAGACAATGAAAACAGAAACGTCTCCATTTCCAAGGTAATTGGTTTCCCTCCTTTGGACCCATCTGATGTAACAACTTCCACCAGAAATTTAACAACAGACCACCTCCCCAAGGCTCCGAGACCCACAGCCACAATTTCCACAAGCCCTCCCTTGGTTCATGCCTTTGTTTCCAAATTGCCTTTGAACTCATCTCTGGCAGACAAAAATCTGTTGCCAATCTCCGCACACCCTAATTCTACGTGGGCAATATCATCAGAAAACTTCAGCTGGCCTCTGGACAATGACACCATGTACATTCCTGACAATAGCTCCACTGGTATCAGCATCCTCCCTCCACTGCCAACTACACAGTCTGTAACCCCCTTGACAATGGAGCCAACTGGATGGCATACAACAGATGATGAGAGCTTTGCTGGCTTCACTCCCTATCGAGAAAAATCAACGGTACAGCCCACCTTAAAGTTCACCAATAATTCAAAACTCTTTCCAAGTACCTCAGACCCCAAGAAAGGTAAATATAATTGAGTTTAACTTTTCTTTTACCTGGAATTGAATGTCCAAATAAGTCAGAGATTAAATCTAAGGATTGTGTCATTCTAGAAAAATAATGGAGACTGCAGTAGTGCAGGTGATTCTTACTTATTTGGAGAGACTCATTAAGTTTACCTGAAATAATGCAGTACTTTCAAGGCTTAATTGAGCATATGCTAAGCTTTATCATAGATGGTGGAGAGACTCTGGGAAAGAATGAGCAGGTAAGGTCAGGTAAAGGTGGGAACTGGGGTAACGGTATAGAGCTGGGATCACTAGGTAACAATTGTAATGAGTCTGCCACAGCCTCGAGTTTTATACGCTTATAGAACTACTGTGAAGATGAACTTTTAAAAGATGAATGTGAGTTTTGAGAAATTAAACAAAATGAATGAATTTATAACTTACCTGACACCACAAGACAATAACAGAACACTGCCATTAAAAAGGTATCTGCACAACCTCAGTGAAAGAAAATCCTCCTTAACTTTTAGTTTAAAACCTAGCAAAAATCATTTAAGAGAATTTAGCTATATCATGAATTTATTTTATAGAGACTGGAATGTTTCATTTGAGGTTTATGTCAAACTTCGAAGCATAAAATGAGAAGGACATCCAAGGTTTAATAATTCATTCCCTGTGCTTTTTTTCTGGTCTAGTTACAGTTCTGTGTACTTGAAATAATTTTTTAAAAATAGCTATCTATTATCTATCTATCTATCTATCTGTAATCTATCATCTATCTATCATCTATCTATTTCTATCTATCTATCTATCTATCTATCTATCTATCTATCTATCTATCTATCTAATCTATCCTCTTTTTTTTCATGAATTTACTGCCCTCCAATGCATACACCTAGTGAGTATGTTCTATTTGTAAAAACTAAATCATATACACTAATTGCTACTTAAAGTTATTGCTTGTGTATAGGAAATATTTTAATTTCTTATAGTGTTAAAGTCAATGTATTTTATACATTTAGTTGTAATATTTACAGTCCTGTTATTGTATACATTGTGATATTTCATTAAAAAGAACTTTAAAGAATTGCCTCCTCCCTTTTGAATAACCAACCCTATATAGAGTATTATTTACTCTTATTACTACTTTTTATCTAAAATATTGTTAGATTTGTTTTCTTTCATGGTAGCAATTTTATGTATCCCAACATGAATGATTTTCTTAGAAGTGGAGTTTTATACAGAATCGGAGACTCTCAATCCTTATCTATCTAAATATGAGTTCAAATAGTATCAAGGAGCTTATTTGTAGGTATTCAGTAAAGAACACTTACAGTAATATTCAGATACCCAAGATTCGCATCTTGATATACAAGGCATTGCAAGCACTTTGTCTTGGTCTACTGCTTTGTTTTGTTGTGGTATTTGGTAATATTTTATATCACAGATATTGCTCTTTCCATCTATTGGGAAGCTTGTGGATTCATTTTTTATTGCTCTTATTAGCTTTTTGATCTTGAATTATTTATAGAACCAAACTCAAAATTCATATCACTATTAAATTTTATCAGAGAGTTAGAGTTTATGAAAACCTTATTGAATGCAGCACCCAACACTGAAACCAGATGTTAATAAGGAATACACCTGGCCTTTTGGTGCTGGTGCTGGTAATAGGTAACAGTTATAAAGCTAAGACTTAGACATATTTTGGGGAAATTACAAGTGACTGTGTCTCACCGTCTATGTTTCTGTGTGCGTCACACATACACCAATGCACACTGTCAATGATATCTAATTTGTAAAAAAACACTGAACATTCTTTGGTCCCTAGAAAGTCTACCTGTATTCCATTGTATTTTTTAATAGTTATTTTCTATGTCCTTACTGTCATTTCATTTGTCCCGCAGAGAACAAAAATACTGGAGTGGTGTTCGGGGCCATTTTGGGGGCTATCCTGGGAGTTTCCTTGCTTAGTCTTGTTGGCTACTTGCTGTACGGAAAGAGGAAAACAGATTCATTTTCCCATCGGCGACTGTATGATGACAGAAATGAGCCAGGTAAGAACCGTTTCACCACCCTCCTTGGATGGAGTGATTTTAGTTAAGAGAGAATCAAGTGCTTAGAAGGGATTCAAGGATTCATATGAAAAAAAAAAATCCTTATCAAAGTAACAGATTTATCAAAATAATTCCAGAACTGTGAGTGCAATTTTAAAACAACTGTATTTGTAACTGCTGCTCTTTGCATCCACAATAATGTCAAGCTAATGCCAGAATTCAAACATAGATATATAATTAGAAGTTAAAATATGAAGAAAAAATGAACAGTTTTATTAACAAGTGATCACAGAGCCATTTTTTTGCCATTGTAATACCTCTTGTAGCGGTAATATGAGCAAGGACTTTCTAATTTGGAGGTCACTGAAAGTGTACACACACACAACCACCCTCCTTATGCCACCTTAGTCAGCCTCTTAAATTATACTCAGGAGCTAAGAGGCACATTTGCACAAATGAAATGACCATGTATCTTAATTCAGGAATTTTCCTCTCATATGGTGGAAAAAAACAGCCAGAATATCTATATGTGAAAAATGTGAACGTTAAAAATGAAGCTATAGTTTGATTTGTACTAAGATCCCTCTTTTATACTTTAGGGAAAAATCTGTTTTCTGCTTTATACCGGGGTGTTCCCACCCATAACAGTTAGTTAGCTCTCCATGATGAAGCCCATGGATAAAGAAAGTCTCATCGAGGTTTGATAAGTTTATGACTAATGCATCACTAATATTCAGAACCAAATCCTGTAATTGTAAATTTAATAGAACTCTGTTTATAACTTTCTAGCAATTTCTATACAATAAAAAGCGGCACTTGTCAAATTAAAAGATAGCTACTCTTCTGACAACAGTGGTTTCTAAACATACTGTTCAACTTAAGAACTTTGTCTAACATGTATCATAGAAATGTTCAGTTGACCACACTGAGACAGCCTAGGCAGTCACAGTTGACTGATAAAAAGTAACTCAGTAGCAACACCTGCCTTACCTTTTCAAGACTGCTTTGGGACACCTCTCCCAAATGCCTCAGACTCCTGGGAACCTCATTTGGAAACAGGTGGCTTAAGGAACAGGTGGGTAAACACATGATACCCAACTGAACATTGTTAAATTACTACTCTAGCTATTAGGCACTCCTTGTAATAATTTAAGATATCTAGGGCATGGCCAGAGTTCCTTTGAAAATGAATTCATGGTAATTAAGAAAATAATTACTTATTTGTTGAAAACTTTTAAAAAATTGAGCATACTTTAAGTGCATGATAACTTCAATCTATCAGAAGGACACAAGTTTTCCAGAGCTATTTCTTCCCTCTCCATCTAAACAGCTTGAGATTCAAGATACTGAGATAACTGGCAAAATAATTGGCTAATGTTTTCAATGCCCTTGGTTTTCAAATAATAATTTTCATACTAGAAGCAGCACATTTAGAACACGTTAATAAGTTTTTGGAAACCACAAGATTAAAAAGTCAAGGAGATATATATTGGTAAATTTTTATGCTATCTACTTCTTCAACATTTCAAAAGTAACACCCGAAAGGCCCATGGGAAGGTTTTCCCTATGTATGTATCTCAAACACTTCTATAATCTGGTGATATAATCAGACTCCTTAGCATGCATTTTTCAGACTATTGCTGTAAAACAATTTTGTTTATTTTACTTTACTCTTTAGTTCTGCGATTAGACAACGCACCAGAACCGTATGACGGGCGCTTTGGGAGCCCTAGTTACTATAATCCATCTGTGAACGACTCCTCGATGCCAGAAGGCAGAGAAAGCGCACGGGACGGCATCCCCATGGACGACATTCCTCCCCTTCGCGCTGCGGTGTAAAACTAGCACAGGGGAAGCTTCCGACTGCAAGTGTCCCTCTGTGTTGGCCACTGAACATACTCTCACCTCCCAAGAGCTTGTGCAAGGTCACTGTCACGCGGATTGTGCAAAGGGAACTGTGCGTGCCGGACACTAGTAGCAGAAACAGAGAGGATACGCCCTTCCCGAAGTTTCCCTGCTTACAGTATTCAGCAGGGCTGAAGCGCCTATTCCAGAGATGCAGTTTGCACTGTGATCTGCTTTTCTTTTAGTAGCAAATGTTTGCAGAATCAGATAAAAGACATCACCATGATAGCAATGCCTGATAATTTAATAATAAAAATCTTTCAACAAAAATAGGAATCTAAACTGTATTTTCATCTTTTTTTGTTTTGTTTTGTTTTGTTTTTCTTTTTTTGAGACAGGGTCTCATTATGTAGTGCAGACTGGCCTTGAACTTGCTTGGGTACCACAGGCTGGCCTCGAATTCATGGCAATCTTCCTGCCTCAGCCTCTCCAGTGCTGGTATTACAGGAATGCACCACCATGCCTAGTTTCACCTGTCTTGAACAAAAACATGTACAGTCAACTCTACCATGTCCCACCTGCACTCTTAGGTCCATAAATTAAGATTAGGAATATTAGGAAATTTATGAGAGTTTTCTTCTAAAAAATTTCACCTACAGCTAGAAAGGGGATATGGCCCAAAGTTCTGTTCCTGGGAAACTAGACAATAGGACTTGTATTCTATCACATTTTGTTTCCTTGTCATCAGTACATGTGTAGTTACTGCACAGTGTCCTTGCTTTGACAGTGACTGCACTCAACAGGCTCATGCCAGGAATCTTGACCCTCACCAGGAAAGGAATATCTTCCTCAGAAGTTTCCAACTCTGAAGGACTCCAATTTGTCTAAATATATTTTAGATTTCAGTTAGTAGAGTGCTTTAAAACTCAGTGAAAACTGTGACAAGGAGCCAAAGACTATACTCGGAACATAACTTGTACAGTTGTAAATTGTTCAGATTAGGATTTATTATATGTTACACAATATTGTTCAACCATATATGGAATAAATTCTGCATATCTACATATATGAAGCATAAGGAAATAGATGAGTGGAAATATTAAACAAAGAAAAACTTTTGATCACTTTCACAAGTAATATAAACAGCTTAATGTGAATTTGACTATGTTTCAGTTTGTCACATGATTTTGGCAGCAAGAAAATAAAAGTACTTTATAGTGTAAGGAGGTCTAGACTGTAGTGGTTAGAAGGTTAGATAAAGATTAAATTTGCAAAGAAGTAGCAAATGTGTGCAGAGGCAAGCAAAGCAAGTATCAGCCTTTACAAGTAAAAGCAATAGAAAGTAAAAACTGTTACCGAGTTGCCACACGACGCACGTGCACTTGTGTGTGTGTGTGAAGGAAAACAGTGATAGGCTTAGAAGGTAAGAGCTAGAATATAATGAAAGAACACACTTACCCCATATTGCCATAAAAATAGCAAAGAAGACTGTCCCTCCATTATCAAACAAGTATGTCACCTTAAAGGAAAACAACAAACAAAATTAATCATTCTACTGACTATAATGGTCCAGTGATTACTGTCTGAATTTAAGTACTATGGCTTTTGCCCAATAAAATCACAATATTTTATGGCTTATGAGACCCTGCAGCTACTTTCTGTGATTTTTCTCATGGATAGAAATGATGAAACAACTTGTACTTCAATTCTATTCCCTGATACACTTTTTCTCCCACTTTCCCTTTTGCTTAGCAGTTTTTGCTTAGCAGCATTCTGAGGAAATATTTATGGGCCACAGTAAACTAAACTATGATATGAGATGTAAGAAGTTGGCTTTTCAAGTAAGGCATACATAATTGCATTTCCTTTTAGCAAAACATCCATGAATGGGGAATTTATAAATTGCAGCATCTACTCTCAAGCTAGCACTTCCAATGGGAAGGCTCTAATCCTTCTCTCACATCTCTCAGCATGTGCCATGTGTCCAGTAGTAGCTGGTAAAGTGTAATGAATCTCATTTTAAGTTGATTTCATAAGTTTCATAAATCACTGGACATATACAATACTGTCACCATGTTATAAATCAGATATTACTCAAAGCTGCGTAACAAACAATGTAGGGATACATTTTTAGAGTTACAAGGATTGTTTAATTTTAATAAAGTTCAAACAATAAAATTGAAGTTACATGTGTTTATTTTCATTTGCAAGATGCTGTCGTCATATTTATAAGTTAGGGAGTGAGATTAAACTAATGCAGCCAAGAACATAAATGTTTGGCAAACACACAAACAGTATGGAAACTACAGTGGTCCTCTCATCCCAGACGGACATACTTCAAGACTACAGTGAATGCTTGAACCTGCAGAGAACACATAACCCTGTATGCACCATGGTTTTTTCCCTTTACCTAATACCCCTGATAAAGTTGCATATGTGAGAGAGACACAACAAGAGATTAACAAGGTTAATAATGAAATAGAGCAATTCCAACAATACAGTGTAATACAAGTGATGTAAAATTGGCTTCTCTTTCAGTATTTCTTATTGTGTTATACTCTCCTTCCTTGTGATAAGGTGAAATGATATGGCACCTACATGATCAGAGGAAGTACATGCTGTGGGCTTTGTGAATAGAGTTGGCAAAAAACCAACCCCAGTTGGTTTCAGGTGCTTGAGCACAAGGAAAATGATAGAGCTACTGAGATCTGATAACTGAGATGGCTACTAAGTGACTAATGGGTAGGTAGCATGAACACATGGATACACAGAGCAAAGGGTGCTTCACATCCCTGGCTGGACAGAGTGGTACTGTGCAAATCTTCAACATATTATTCAAAATGGCATAAAATGTAAAACTCATGAGTTGTTTATTTCTGAAAATTTCCATTTTAGTGCCCAGGTGATGACAAGAAAAGGAAAGAATTGAAAATAATGCTTCAAGTAAGTTGGGGATATGGGGGTCACTATATAGAGAACATAGGGTAGTATTTTTAAAGGCAGGTGAGGCAAAGTTTGGATTGCAAAACATTATTATAAGGGAAGCCAGAGTAGAATAGAGTCCTCTGTGCACAGTCTGAAGTCTGAAGTGTGCTTAAAGGAGGCATTAAAACAATATTATGTGTTTTTTAATTGTCAGCCTCCGGGACACACTGCAAAACAATGGACAAACAAGTAAATGTAGGATATATTTTTCTGCCACATAGCACTAATAAAAATACCAGCACATTGCTTTGATATGTTTATGTTTGTGATACTGGTATGCTGCTACTGTTCTATTTTTTGTTTGTTTGTTTCTCATTTAGTACTCTTTTTAAAATAAAAATTTAAAAAAATACCAGCATAGAAAAGATATGGTCCCTTTAAAGTTTTGTGAACAGGTATAAAATATTCCATGTAGCTCTGAAATTCTGACTGTTAAGGCTTAAGGTTTCTAAAAATGTTTTAAGCATTCATTTTCAGAACAATCATTACCATTTATTATGTACAGGAGAGAAAAGAACCACAAAGAAATTCTCCTACAGAGTTCATAAAATTACACCCAGCGGGAGAATCCGGGTTTTGTTTCCAGGGTGTCCTGCAGAGACACCTGTGGTTTCAGAGCAGCTGAACAGCTGTCTGTTTCCCTTAGAAGCAAACCTCATGAGGGGACTCCTGGAGGGTGCTGGAACAAGGACTTCACATATGTGGGCTTAAAGGTCACCAAGAATAGTAGCTCTCCCCTGCTTCAGAAATAGCCTTGCTTGTACAAAAGGGAATAAAAAGCCACAGTTTGATGTATTTTATGCAGTATTTTCCCTTAAAACAATTTCCATTTTTTCCCTGCTAGGTGCATTTTCAAATCTTTCTAGATTTGACTAGATCAGTTTAGATCTTGCACTTTTAAAACATGTCCATGTGATACAGTGGGTGTCCATGTGATCTTCATATAACAGGAGGTTACAGATGTGGAAGTGGAGATAAAGCTAGAAGGGAGGCCTAGGGAGCTTCAGGATTTGCCCTAAGGAGGTGACTAACAGTTTGTGTCCGATAGGCTAGTCTGTTATGTATAGGATACCGTACATTATGAGGATAAAGATCAGTGGTAGAGACAAGAAGGCCAGTTAGAAACCTGTGATTATACTGTGAGTTCCAAAGGGCATCATTTTAGGTGGTGACATGAGAAAGACATGCTAAACGGAAACGGGAGAGAAAGGAAATCCTGGGGTATTCTGTGGGTAGCTGAAGGGTGGAGAATAAATGAGAATTATCCTTCTGTCTTGTAGCACAAGAATACTTGCTATGTTGAGGAAAACTTGTTAAAACATTAAAAGAATTCCACAAGTATCACGATAATTTTTCTCGAACAAAGAAGCTAGTCCTATGTAAAAACACACATCTTTTTAAAATTACTCTTTTAGGAAAATAGTAGGCTACTATGGTTAGAGGGACCACTGAACAAGTATTTTCTTTAGCACTGTCACTGTAAATAAGGAAATTTATGAAGAAGGAAGCAAACTGAGCTCAAACAAAGCACCAACTGCCCTTTACTTTGGATACTGAGCTATCCTGTGGCTTGGAGCACATCAGCATAAGTGTCCTCTGCTGAAGGACATATGTTTCTTCTGTGGATGGAAGCTTGAGCTCTGTGCCTGCCCTACCGTAGCTGCTGGATCTTCCTCTGAAAAACTGCTTGGCTGAGTTCAAAGTAACATAAGGCTCTGGAGACTGCTGCTTCCACTTCATTAAAGCTTCATTCCACTAAGCAGAGCAAAAGTATTGTGGGCCAATTTAATCCTACAGTTCTGGAATCTCACCCCCTTGTCTCTGTCTCTCTGTCTGTCTCTGTCTCTGTCTCTCACCTGATTTGTTTCCCACCTCTCATGGTGATTGGCCTTTATTGCTTGATGTCTAATCTGTTCATATCTACTGTTTTACATATTTTGTATATTTTGTTTGTTCTAATATCAGGATAAAAATGCTCGCTTTTTTTTACCTAGTCTAGAAGCAAAAGTCTCTGTCTAATTAATTTTGGCAAGACTGGGAGTCAAATCAGTACCCACTCCACTCCTTGACTCCACAACCAAAACTGAGTAAAGCTGACTTCTGTGTTTATCTTGAGCAAAAGGCATACAAAAGCACAATTTTTAATATGTGCCCAGTTTTGAACTCTTTTAGAAGTTCCACAGACTGTGGGGCTTAGAAACAAGGATATCTAACATGGTGGCAGCATTTCCTCAGCACAGCTATATGTGTTTTTCTGAGGTAGGGTCTCACTGTGCAATTCATGCTGGCCTCAAACTCAGGGCAATTCTCCATCCTCAGCTTCCTGAGGCTGGGATCTAGTCGTATGGCACCACTCCCAGATCTCATCACTTTTTACCAAAGCCTAGGAGTTATAATTACTAGACAGATAAGCGCAAGTTCCTTTCCTAGCCAGTGCATTCCCAAACATATGACAGCCTTAGAAAAACCTAAAAATCCAGGTGTTTGTTTCTTTTTGTTTTTTTCTATACAAATCTAATACAGTATAATAATGGGATCTGAACAGGAAAGGTGAGAAGAGCCCATGTGTGCAAAGTGATAGTGTGAGGAATCTTTACAATGAAATGCTAAGTCTAGGAGGTTTGTCACCATGCAGCAAGTCAGCATCCTTTTCTGGGTAGAAGAGAGTGCTAGGTTTTCCTTTGAAGTGAAATAATTTTCCATAAGTTACTAATTCTTTTAAAAATATACATGCAATTCCAAAAATGACTCACCCTTAAAACAGACCCCATTCAAATAATTATTGTCTAGGGTTTCTGAATTTCTGCTTGTTTAACAAATATTTATTCAATCTCTACAATGAGATTCAGACTGCACACTGATGTTTTGGCGAGAGGAGAAATAGGAGGGAAAGATGTTTCTTCTTAAAGAAACCTAACCAAAGAGTCCATTTTGGAAGTGATTAGGATTAGATTAGGTCATTGCAGTGGAACTGTCTTGACTGAATCATGGTGAACTTATAAGAGGGTCCGTGACCAGACAGATGTGCACACACATACCCTCCTTGTCCCTTGGCATGTGATTCTGACACCTGTTTGGGACTTTAGGATGAAGGCCACCAGCAACTAAATTACCTGGTCCTAGCCCCTCCAGAACCTTATGCCAGAGAAGACTTTCTTTGTTAATAAAGTAGACTGCCTCAGATAGTTCATAACTATAATGGAAAATGGACTAATACAAAGGCTGACATTGGTTTAGCATCTATTCCACCTGGTCTACTTGTACTGACTTACCGAGGAGGTATAATAGCATTTGTCTCTAGGAAAAATTGCTAACGAACATGCATAGCAGCTTTACATGAAATAGGCAACACTTTGAAACACTAATAAACTGTGATACAGATGGAACAGAATAATGCTCAGCAATGAAGAGGAATAGCCTGTTGATAAATGGTACAACATAAGTGAATTTCAAAATAATTATGGTGTGCAAAAAATGGATACTGTATAATTCCATGTGCATAAGAGTCTAGAAAATGCAAACTTCCATATAGTGACACAGAGCAGATAGCTGGCTGGGCACAGGGCACAGCTGGGGAAGGATTGGAGGCATCATTACAAGCTTTCAATGTGATACGTAAGTTCATTATGTTGATGTCGGTCATGGTTTCACAGGCATGTGCATTTAACAAAATATCAAATTGTACACTTCAAATATGTGCTTTTAACTATGTGAAAACTTTTATAAGTAAAGATAATAACTATACAAGTCAGTCTTTCTTACATTTGTAGAAATATTGGAATGACTTGGGACATTTTAGGATATGCTCAGATCTAAGTTTTTCACCCACACAGACTGATTTAATAGCTCTGGCATGTGATCTGGACTTCAAGAATTAAGAAAAAGAACGCTTCGGTTGATTCTAATAAGCACAACTTGATAAATTTTTTGGCATGCTGTTTCATTTTTTTGCTGTACAATTAGGAGCATTTTAACTTCATGAGTCTTCATGGAAGATACAAATTTAATCATCAGCACTAAAAATAATTGTTCTTCTAAAAAGAGCCCAGCTAGGATTGCAGGTGGAAGTTTGTGTCTATGGTTGCAGTTAGCAATTATAAAACCAAAGGAAGACAAAGATACTCAAAGAAAAGTATACTCTTGTAATTGCAGCATATTGGCTTTTTTCAACTGTCAGTGACACTAATAATGATTGTTGAAACTTTTGGGATGGTTAATTTTGTTGAAAAGCTATTCATTGGCCGACTTCTATGCCTGTTTTCTAGAAGAAGTAGAGGCTGGGGAGGAGACTGTGAAGGGCCTCACTCACCTTGGCATAGATGCAGCTGTCATTGAGCCTCTGCAGTGAGCAGTTCTTGTCACACAGAGGGCACATGAAGACTTCCGTGGCTTTACAGATCTCTTGGCTCGAGAAATCAGAGAAAAGAGACCATGAGGCTCTGTACTGACAGAATCACTTACCTCACCAGCAAATCGGCCTGTGAACAGCCAGAACAAGAGTAAAAGGAGAAGAAGCAGACACAGGGCAGGGTCACGGGCAGGTGGGGCAGCACTTGGACTATGGCTCCTCCTCCAGTAGTTTGGGATATTTGTGATACAAAGACTGGTGTTTGCTTCTTTGATTTTAGAAACCTCTGTCATGACAATGATATGATAATAGTCCATGTTGTACACCTGTGTGACACTTGAGAAATGTTCAAAAATAAAGACACTTTTAAACAAGACCTCATGGCACTCAGCACAGTCTTGTGCATTATACCTGTGGAGTTTTAAGTGAGTTCACAGGCTTGGAAGGGGCTGAGCTGGAATAGAACCTGACTATTCTGACTTCTGAAGTCTACACACAATTCATCATCCATGTATTGTAGTATACGATGTTAGTGCAAAATGTTTACTGGAAATTAAAGGGATTGATGTATGTGTGTATGTGTGTGTGTGTGTGAGAGAGAGAGAGAGAGACAGACAGACAGAAAGACAGAGAGAGAGAGAGAGTCCTTGACAGTTCTGTCAGGGTAACATGACATGGTTTCTATTTAATTAAAAACATTCTCAATTACAGTTCAACTGTATAATGTTTATCTCTTCAGTTTTATGCCTATTGCTATTACTGGGTTTTGGGGTGTTGGGGTTTTCTCCGAGAGTTAGTTTCTTGGTTCTTTCTGTTATGAACAAAGAACTGGTTAAGATAAGCACAAAAAGTGCAAATAGGAAAAGAAACATGACTGGCAGAGTGCATGTGGGCCAATTAAAAGTATTAAAAGGAGGACGCTCTGCAATGTGAGAGTGGATCACACTGAAAGAGAGCACGCAGTGGTCCAGAGCTCAACAGCAGCCATCTTTCGAATCTTCTACTCCTTGGCTTATGTCAGATCTAGGCTGTGCTATGAAAAACTTGCTCGTGTTCTCATGAGTGGACCTGAAGACAGTACTCTCTGGGCATGTGTCCTAGAACTTCCTCATTAACAGGTAACACTGGCTTTCCCAGCCAGCTGGCCATGCCCTAATCTCCTGCCTCAATGCCTTGTAAAAAGCTCAGCATACACTAGAGATAGCTTTGCCAGAAGAGTTGGGAATCAACAGAAATTTCTGGGTGACCCCACAGACTGAGAGTTCATGGCAACTTGCTTTTAGGATATTTTGTGCCTTTGTCTGCTGCACATTCCCTTTTTTACTTAGTATCTCTTGAGCAAGTTTTCTTTAAATGAATCTGCTCTAAAAATGTTGAAAGGAATTTAAAGGCTTTAGAAAACATGCCTGAAAATGCAATTGTTAAAGCAAGTTTAATTGGCAATGTTTACAGCAAGATTTTCTACTTTAAAAAATATATGGAATCAAAGTCAAAAACAAAACATGTATATTTCAAGTGTGGGATTTATATAACTTCAAGTCAAAGGGAGAATAAACACTATCAAGGTTACCGCAGAACAGTGAATGCTGTGTGGTGGTTACTCTTTACTCTAACCTCCTCAGTGGTAATTGTCTCCATTAAGGAAAGGAAACCAATATTCATTTAAGAAACTTGCTCAAGGTCAGAGAAGGAGCAAGAGGGACTTCAGCAACATAAGTTCAGGTTTTGTGTGATTCAGAGCCAGTCCTCCATCTCCTGTAACATAGCTAAAGGAGGAAAGAAGTTTATTTCAGATTGAAAAGCACTTTTTTCCATGAACAGTTCACTAACGACGATAGTGATGCAAAAGGCCTCACACATACTAGACTTCTCTACTTTTACATGCACCATCTTCTTGGTAATCAGGATGTCCAAATGAAGTAGAATGAAATGCAGAACGTGCCTTTTATTTATTTATTTATTTTTTGGTTTTTCTCCGGTACCAGGAACCGAACTCACCACCTTGCGCTTGCCAGGCAGGCACTTTTGCCGCTGAGCTAAATCCCCAGCCCCGAACGTGCCTTTTAAACAATTAAAAGAAAGCAGCGATCGCATCTCCACTTACCAATACTAGCAATTTTCAGGAGCAAGAAGAATTAACATACATTTTGAAGAAAATGTGAATTAATATCGACTTCCTATCATAATTTATTGTGCTTTCATGAATGCCACAATTTGTCTTACATAAATCGCACACAGGAAATCTACTTGAGTTGCCTGACCGTACATCATATTTCCAACCTTCCAAATGGGCAGACCAAAGCCCAGAGTATTGAGGCACAAAGACCAGATATTCAGCCATCAGACTGGGTCATATTTTTACTGTCATAGTTATTACATTAATTTTTTGTTAATTACTTAAAGCTTAATGTGATGCGTAGCATCAATAATGTTAAACATTCATTTCTGAGAAGTTCCTTTAAACCTAGAAATAGGTATTTGAGAGTAGCACAAGTTTTTGTTTTGTTCTGTTTTGTTTTTTCTTAACCACTAGAGGGAGAGAGAGGGGAGGCTCCTTTATATGAGCGTATTTACTTATTCATTGCAGGCTTGGATAACCTAAACTACCACTTTAATTGTGGCTTTCTTTGTTTTCTGTGTTAGATATATACCCCAAGGGCTGATTGAAAGAAATAAAAATTACTGCCAATTAAACATACTGAAAATTAGGAACACTATTTCCACTGGGGACTGACCGGAGTCTCTGAGGCAAAGTGCAGAGAAAGAAATGACTGTTTGGTGATGCGCATTTGAGCAGTAAAATGTGGAACCAGGTTTAAAGGAAATGGTTTGGCAAGATGAGCCAAACATTGGCTAGATGATCAGATACAATTATCAGGGAAGTGCAAGTCCCATGTTCACTGCAGGATTATTGAACATATCATTGATACAGCTCAAATTTCTATTGATTGATGAATGAATAGGAAAATATGTATGTGCAGTGGAGTTTTATGCAGCTTTAAAAAGACATTTCTCCATACACTTAGCTACTTAATTGAACCTGTTGGTAAGGATGTAGAGAAACTAAAATTCTTATACATTCATGTGATGCTATAGAAAGCAGTGAGGAAGTTCCTCAAAAGGCAAAATTAAATTACCATATGATTCTGAAATCCCTCTTCTGAACAAGTTTCCAAAAGAAATAAAACCAGGATTTTGAGGGTTAATCTGAACTCCATGTTCACTGACAGATTATTAAACATATCGTTGATACAGAAACAACTCAAATTTCTATTGGTTGATAAATGAATAGGAAAATATATATGTACAGTGGAAATTTATCCAGCTTTAGAGAAGACATCTTGCCATATACGGCAACTTAGTCGAACCCAGAGTACAGTGGTACCTCGGTACATGCGCTTAATTCATTCTGTGATTCATTCTACCCTAAGGGGTAGACTGCTGTGGTCATGTTCATCCCTTGATGCAGAGTTTGCGAAAAGAAGCAAAATTTTGCCCAAAGCTTCTGTTTGCAAATGTAACTGTTCACACACAGAAGCATTCACGAACTGAGGTACTGCTGCATATTATGCTAAATGAAATAAGCCAATCACAAAAGAACATTTGTATGAGGCTAACTAGTCAGTAAGAACTAGACAGTAAGAACTCATACATCAAAAGAGAGTATATTTGTGCCTGCAGGGCCTTTCAATGTAGTTACACACCCAAGATGTGTAAGTTTCCAATTTATTTTGTACAACAGTGTCCCTATACGCTATGGTGCACTTCAAATTTTGTTGAGTATCAATCTAATGCTAAATGTTCACATCACAATAATGTTTTAAAAAGAATTAGATATATTTTTGAAAGTTAGCTGACCCCTGAGTGGATATGTGCCCTGAATAAGAGGCCTACTTCTCTGAAGATGCATTTATTTGTCTCCAGATGAGGACAGTATCTCTGGCATGTCATAAACATCTGGGACTCTCACTATTAAGAGTAATGCCAGGAGAGGGCTTGGAAGGTTTTATAGGAAGCAACAGCTCTTAGAAATCTGCCCAATACTAAGTGCCACATAAATTTTTTGATGTGTTTTGATGATAAAAAAGCAAGAATGACCCAGAAAACTGGAATTCCTTTTTAAAAACCTTTTCCTGATGACTAGCACCCTAAGAAACAAGCCTTAGGTCTGAATTTTTAAATTCTGTAATATGTCATCTGCCAGGTACAGATATCAACCCATTTGGCTGTGTAAAAGGGATGCATACACAAGCACACACATGTATGCATGCACGCAATGAATTAGAACTTGATGGTTTTGTGTTCCTACAATTCACTGCAGGGCAATTAAAAATATGACCTTAATCTAGCTAAACTTATCTGGTAAAAACATGATAAATGCACCAACACCTGGAGCTTTTCAACATTTTACTATCCTGCAATAAACTAAAAAGGACCTGAATAAAATAATACTCACATGAATTAACACCAAATGAAACCCAGCCTCCTCCAGCCCCCCTCCCCAAGCAAGATTACACCCAAGACTCAATCACGTCTGCCACCTTGAATGGAAAATTTCAGTCCCAAAATTTTGAAAGTCAAGATATTCGGTGCTGCTTATGATTAGTTTAGAATAGAAAGTCTAGCAGGATCTTAATTATAGTGTGACAGCAGCAGCAGTAATATAATACCGTAAAGCACTGAAGAAAAGACTTCACTAATGCCTTTTGAAACACTTCTTGTACAAAGGTTAAAGAGAACTTATTTCAAACAAAGGGAGCTTAATTTACTCCATCGGTGCATAAATCAAGAGGAACAGTCCATCTCTTCTCTTTTGTTCATTTCCAGGTTTGTAGGGGTGCAGAGAGGATTCTACATCTCATGCTAAAACTTTCTCATTCGTTCTCCATGGAACCAACTTGAACCGCTGCTCTGGAAGAGGCATTTTCCATATGTGTGCATTGCAAAAGAGTGTTTCTGTTGTCAGGACACTGTTACTGAGTTCTAACTTCTTCTCTGAGGCCTGAGGTTTCTGACTGAGCAACATGCAGGAGAAAAGCTCAAAAGAGGCATTGAGGGGGAGGTGCTTACAGTGGGCAGAAGTTTGTCCAGGAAGATGCTCGCTAGCAGAGTGACAGGGGAGTTAGCAAAACTCTGAAATTGTGATTTCATGGCAGTAACCAGTTGGCCTCATCAACAGCAAGGGGATTCCCAGGTAACAAATCAAGGAACTTTGATATTGAATAGGATTTCACTCAAGGACATCACAGACACTTTGTTTTGGGTCAAGATTGCTATATATTTACAAACACCTATATATGCATGCTATATTCGTAAAGGAAATGCACGGAAATTAGTTTTTAGCATCCCTTGAGGACTCTAACAATAGCATCGGCTGTTGTTGTTACAGCCCTGCAGCAAGGCCCTGGTTAAAGATGGACCAAGGAGAAGAACATGTGAATGTTCAAAGAGAGGGAAAGGAAGATTTACTGGGCTTGACTTCGGTCATACACAGTTGAATGGATGACACACTCGTGATTTATACGCAAACAGAACAAGCCGCTAAGAGCCTTTAATCCTAGGTGAGTTTTGTCTTTACTGAATAATTTTGTATTGTTTCTAGGAATAATGCACTCCTACTTCTTAATCATGAATCATCTCATTTTAACAAAATAATCAGCACTCTGATATGTGTTTGACTATTTCATTATTATTTTTAGATCACTATGTGGGATATGCAGGAAAGAAGAAATTTGGCATAGAGATAAGAAGATTTGGAATTTATCTAAGAGAAGTGGCATACAAAAGTGAAAACAATGCCCTTTTAATAGTCTTTGGTATTTTTAAAAACAGCAAGTAATTATATTTTTGTTGTTTTCATGATTGCCATTACCTGTAGGCTTTTGCACACTCAGAAGATAAGCCAAGCACTTGTTGACAAGTCTCCCAGTAGCTTACCTCACTTGGCTTTCATTCATGGTTACCAGTCCGTAGAAGAACACACACAAGCCAACAACCGCCGCGGGAATCAGCATTCCAGTATACCAGCCCAGCCAAGCAAAGTACAGCCCGATCTTCTCCCCAAAGTACAGCCTGCAGAAGAAAGCAGACCTTCAGCGTATGGCCGCATACCTGACCTCACTCCGCTGGCACCGCAGCCAGCCGGCATTGCAGATGGGACCCGGAGCTCACCAGCTCCACACACAGTCCAGCATCCCTGATGGTCCATGGGTCTCAGGGTGGGGATGTCCTGGACTTTCCATACTGTCCTTATAGGGACAGTTTGCAAAGTGCATTTCTTTCTGTGCCAAATTCCTTAATATGGCTCATAAAGCTTTATAACCCACTGGTTGCCTTTCCTACCTTCCCGCTGCCATCTCATTTTAGTCTCCAAATCACAGAGCTGTGCCGGACCACACTGCTCCCATGAAAGCTGGAAACAGACCCCCCTCTGTGTGGAGCTGAGAGCAGAAATTTCAGCCTCCATTTGCTCCAGGCCAGACGCCTCATGGACTGTCATGTCTCATCCTTCTCGACAAAGCTCACCTCGGTGGCTTCTGGGCCACTCAGTGGTTTCCTTGGATAGGCGGTTCTCTAAGATTGAAATGCTTAAAAACTGTTTCCACCCTGCTCCCCCATCTGACTTGTTCTAGTCCTCCGCTTAGTGTCCTTTCTTCCCTGACGGCCTCTGCAGCCCTGATTAGCTGTCCCTGCTCTTCTCGCACAGGACCTCATCCACGCCTTGGCACCCTAAGGAGGTAACACCGCATGGTAACTTCCCTTCACTCCTCAGCGGCCCCCCTCTCTGTAAGCTGCTGAAGGAAGACCCGTGTGTGCTTCCCCAGTCTCCACGGCTGGGTTGTACCATGCTGAGACCAGGAGCAAGGCTCCTTGCCCCTCGGCTGGAGAGCACAGGGCAGAGGATCAAAGGGCAGACGGTAGAGGTGCTTCTATGTCTACTTGGTTGTGGTTTCCTCTCCTGGCCTCCTGTCAGTTCTGTCCACCACATGGGTTATAAAGATCTAGTCAAAGTAATGAAACTTTCCTCACACTCTACTTTGGATAGGTCTCCATCTTCCAGAGCAGGCTACTTAATACATATTTTTAAAGTTCATTTGGGGATATCATGCTGAACAGTTATTCTTGATGTGAAGAAAATTCTGTCATTTTTACTCCACAGTCTTGTCTTTCTTTCTTTTCTTTTTTTTTTTTTGTTTTGCCTTTTTGAGACAGGGTTTCACTATGCAATTCAGGCTGGCCTTGAACTCACTTTGTAGCCCAGGTTGGCCTCAAACTCAGTGATCCTCCTGCCTCAGCCTCCCAAGTGCTGGGATTACAGGCATGTGCCACCATGCCAGGCCCAAGTCCTTCCATTCTGAAAGATACACTTTTTCTACTTAATTCTCTGAATTTTGCAAATTAAATTTTGTACAGATTTCACCAGGTAAAGACTTGGAGTCATCCTTCCTTAAACATCATTTATCCAACTTTTTCCCTTTTATTTATTTTTCCTAAGAATCCCCAATCAGCAGTCATCATTTCATTTCTCATGCAGTGATAGTGTTCTCCTGTAAAGCCGAAGTTTATTATATTAATTATTAAAATATAAGTTTATAATACTAAACAAAGTCACTTTTTCCTTAAACAAGCATTCCCAGGTGGGATGGAGAAGGTTTTTAGAACCCAGTGCAAACATAATGGAATCTATTTGTAATGATCATAGAGGGGCATGGAGAAAAGTCTGCTCTTACAGAAAGTATTGTACTAAAATTTGAACTCTACACCATTGAGAGGAGCCACAATATTATTAACTGGAAGTATAATTACCTAAGTTAAGACAGATTTCAGATCCGTATCAGCAGAGGCAGAGATTAATCCCAGGCAAAGAGAGATGGATGTAAATGCTCTTGACCCACAGTGCTAGACACCCAGTCTTCCACACTCTAAGCTCCACTTAGAGTATTTCAAGGACCACAGGGGGAAAGAGCTGCTATGCCTCAACTCCTCATCACGTTTCCACCACAGCCACCCTCTTTACATGTTGGGGAGGGGGGACTCTATTAACGAACTTAATTCATTTCACAATTCTGGGGAAGACAACCAAAATCATGTTTGTTACTTAAGTTCATTACCTAATGCAAAGCTCTCAAATGGAAGAAATATTTTGCCAAATGCTTCTGTTTGTGAACCAAATTGTTGGCAAACAAGTGTTTGTGAACTGAGGTACCAGTGTTCGTGGATGCTGTTCCTTGTGATGTTCCATTTGCTGACCTGTTCTGCTGCTGACTTCTATCATCAAATAATCAGAGTGAAATCTACTCTTGTGGAGATGATTATTCAATTCAGCCTTTCTGTTTGCAACTTTAAATCCTTCTGATGCCTACTGCGAAATGTTTTTTAAAATGTCACACAACTGTTGCGTTAAGCAGGTTTTGTAGCTAATGATTATAAAATGTACTCTTTCTAGTATCAAATATTTTCCAGGGGAAAATAGGCGGAAACTCAATAAGCTTTGGCTATTCAATGTTTGAATACAGTTTTTATAATGGGAAAACAAAACAAAAACATGTCCCGAAATAATTGTTGGCAAGAGGGAAAAGAATGGACACTCCCCTGCCTTCCATCCATGACTGAACCACTGGGCACCATGTGGATTTTGCCTGTGGTTCTCTATCATCCACACACAAGGCTTGTGATACGCCCAGCTCCAGAAGCAACACAAAAAGAGTAGCATGTCCTCAAAACTGTGCACTCTTAAAGACAAGTTAACTTTCAAATATAAAGTCAAAGGTTTCTAAGGAAGCTGCCTGCTGATTATTAAGAAAACCTGACCCTTGCACAAAATTCTATACCTGAGGTTGTATAGTTTAATATGCATATCATCCTCACCACCAGCTCAATTTTGGTAACAGGTAAGCTCCTTGAGGGAAGGGACATGTTTCTGCCTTCCTCCTCTCTTGGGCCCTTTGGATTTTCAACAGGGTGTCAAATTACCCTGGTTCCCAGGGAAACTGCTTATGGTGCTGCTGGACCAGGGGTACTGGCAGAAATAAAGACAGAAGGAATAACTCAGGCTCTTTTTCCTCCTCTCCATATGCCGCAGGGCTGTGTACGTGAGCTGTGGCCCAGATACTGGGCTTTGGTAATACATTTTGTCCTGTTTTCTTTTACCCCTCGGCTAGTTAGTAATTTTCTGATGCTGCTGCTAATCCCTCCTAGACTTAAAAAGCTATGTTTGATTTCTCAGCTCTCCCATTTGCTAGAGCAACAAGTTCCCTGTATTAAGATTCTTCTGTTGAAAAATCACCCCATGGTTTCTCTCCTCCCTGTCACATTCTCCCTGATACCAGGCAGTAGGGACATGCGATCATGAGGCTTAGGACCACAGCAATAGAACAGCGCATCTTGCTTTCCATCATAAATGTGTTTTCAGAACCTGATCAAATCCAGTGGCTGATGCTTGTACCACATTCCCCAGCGTGCCCAGCGCTCATACAGAAGATGTCTGTTGTTCTGAGGACCGTGGGTTTTGATGGGCAGGCTACTCTTGTACGCTCCCTGAAACATAAAACAACAGGCATTGCTACGCATTTTCCTACTGAAATGTGAACTAAACAAGAACAGTGTAACAGAATAATTTAGCAATCCATCAAAAGCTTCAGAGATCATACATAGAAGCCTCATACTGTAATGACGTGGTAGATATCTATTTTGCTGGAAATTTTCTGAGAGTTCTCTAAACATCATTTATTTAATTTATTATTTTTTAGTTTTCGCTTTTACTTTATTAGTCGGTGCTTGCAGTACATGAAGTTTCCATCTGTCTTGGGAAGTAGGTGCATGCACACAGTGCAGCTTGTTTCTCTCCTTTAATTCCTTCCCCTTTCTGCCCACCTCCCTCCCTCCCTGTCTGGATTCCTTCTTCCCACTTTCATTCTTGCTGTTATTATTCTTAGCTTGTGTTTATGACACGTAATGTTTATACTCATTTGAGTATTTGGCACCTCCACATGGCATGTCTTAATTTTTCTTCCTTCCCCTCCACCCTAGCCATTGGCAAGAGGTCTATCCCCTTGTTTCCTTCTCATCGTGTTTTGTACTTTGCCTTACACACATGACAGACATCATACAGCACTTTAGCATGTGTGTCTAATTTATTTAATTCAATGTTATATTTCCCAGGTGCATCCATTGTAAATCACTTTTGTAAACAATTGGGATCCATTTCACTTAAAGTAAACCAGACTTCAAGTTTCACCATTTGTAATCTATGGTCTTTCGATAAACACTGCATCTTCACCACTAACGAGAGAAACTGTAGTAATCTTTAGTTCAGAAACTGAGAGTGTTATTCCGCTCTAAAATGTGATAAACTCCCAGAAATTTTTACTTCAGTCTCAGTAGCTAAGGAAGAGAGGAAGTGCTCATTTGAAAGGATAAGGCCCCAAGCCCCAGTTTTAATCATGCTTCAAAACCCAAGAAATCTAAAATTTTAGTTCAGGTAAGATATTCCAAATTTGAAGTATTTTAAAAGTTTGTTATATCTTCTCTCAAAAATCCATCAGAGCAAGTTCTAGGGCTGAATGTTTCCAGACAACCATGGCTGTGAGTCCCTACCGAGAGAGAACACACTTCAAATCATGGCTTGGAAGGACTGTGAGGTTGTGATGAGAGACATTTAAATTACCCAGGAAGGGGTGCAGGCAGAATTTGGGTGCAGTCTTGGAGTGGTCTCCCTGTCAGTCAGGTGTCTAAATCCTGCAGGTTAAAAGCGAAGGACATGGAAGCAAAGATCTAGTGTCTAAGCGTAGGGAACCCCCTGGAGAAGGGTTCGTGCAAGTGGACTGGACTGTTAGAGCACACTATCCTGGGATTTGCTAAGTAAAGGAAGGTGAAACAAAACATCAGCCTTCTTTCAACTACTGCTGATAATTCTCCAGATATGCATAACTTCCCTTCCCTGTTGTTATGGTTTAAAAGGAGAGGTTTACTGCGGCCACTCATCCATTGAGGACTTGATCATCAGGGCAGCAGCAGTGTCCCAAAGGGGCCTTGGAGAAGCATCTGAATCATGAGAGCAGTAGGCTGATCGCTAGACTCACACACTGGTGAGTTTACAGCTCAGTGGGCTGTCAGAAGGTGGGACAGAGCTGAAGGCGAAGGGATGCTGGGGACATGGCTTTAAGGGGGTCTTTAGTGTGGCTCTTCTCTGTTTTCTCTGGTTTTCTCCACCATGAGCAGCTTTTCTCCACCATGTCCTGCTTCCCAGCCATTTCTACCTTGGAAGTCATCAACCATGCACCATAACCTCTGAAACCGTGAGCCAGAATAACCTTTCCTCCTTTAAGTTGTGTGTCAGGTGTTCTAGCCCAGCAACAGAAATGTGAACAATACAAGAGCCTTAGGGGCCACAATATAACTATTTTCTTGGTTTTGACACTAAGCTTTGGCACACTTAGTATAGAATTGTACTAACGCTGCTCCTAAGCCTCAATTAAACTCATTGTTCTGGCTTGACAATTACATGCAGTGCACTCAGGAGAAAGCCGACTGACGTAATTACTTGTGTGCACTCACAAATTTCTGTCCTTCCTGTGGCTCATTTATAATCAGTGAGCCCCACCATCTCTGATGGCCCCCCTGTTTCCATATTGGGGGAATTACATAGTTTATTGATAGCCTCAGCAGGTGTATTTTTCTTCCTTCTAGCTAGGTATTATCCTTAAAAAACATCTCAACTAGCAGTAAAAAATATGAGGCTGGCCCTCATCCCCTGCATCAGTGAAGAAGAAAGCCATGAATTGGGAAGTGATAATCAAGCCATAACCAGTGATGATGACTGAATTTTCTTCTTAGTGAGTCTTGCTTTTCTTTCAGTATCACTTAAAAATCATAAGGAATTCTTGAGCTCATTTTATTCACTTTGAACTTGTTTAGTTTCTTGCATTTAAAAAATACTGCTTTCTATTCTGTTTGTTTCTATTTTGCATAGAGCACTGCTATATGCATTCCATGCATTAGTATTTCAACTAAGCTGTATGCACACATGGAAAAATGACTGTTATTTGCAAGCCAATTGTAGTAGGTTCCAAGTTTCACACAAAAATGTCAAATGAACTGTCAGGGCACAGCCTAATTATGTAGGAAAACTACTGCACAGAGCAGAAACCAAGCCTTCTTTTGCTATAAAGATCCTATCAGGGCCCCATTCTGCTTCTCTGAATATTTGAGCACTAACTTTGGGGTACCTGGCATCCTATTTACTGTCCTTCAGCACTGTTTAGATCTGAAGTTGGAATAATAGTCTGTATCCCTCCAGTGATATTGGCAGAATAATGGAAAAATCCATGGGAGAACCTAGTGTATAAAACACACAGTCAGAATGTGTTATGATTGTTCCTATTCTTTTTGTAAACACTAATTCCTAAAAGAACATGAGCATTGAAGATTGAATTCCTGGGCTTAAAACTGCTTCTCAAACACTTAAACATTTTGCACCTCACTTGTGTAACACTGTGAATTCCTCATATACTGTGTCCTGTGACCTTTGTCTTAACTTTATAAGCAGAAGAGAAATCATTTTTGAAAGTTCCAAAGTGAAACGTCTAAAGATTTTATCTTTACTTTAAAATGAGAGATCATCTTAAAGAAAGAAGTCAACAATGTAGAGGAGAGGGGAGGAGCAATAAAAACAGATTCCAGTCTCATTCATGGTGGGTAAGCCCAGCTCAGTTTAGAGTAAGCACTGCCATTTAAAATTTATAAAAAGGCAAATCTGGTAGGGAATCACATAGACAAAGGACTTCAGGACTGATGGCAGATGCTTTGTGATTTTCTGGTATCCTAAGGAAGTTGGCACACATGTTTATTGCTTGATGTCCCCTCAAAGCTTCATAGGTGGGGTTTGGGGATGTGATTGGATCTGAGGAGTGTGATACACATCCGTGGATTTGTCCACCGATGCATTTATACCTAAATGTGATCTCTGGAGGTGAAGCTTGCTCAGAGGGAGTGGGTCACTCAAGCATGGCCTGGGCGGGTCTCCCTCCCTCCCTCTGCAGCTCTTCACTCCCTGCTTCCTTGCAGCCAGCTGACTATGGACTGAACCTTTACAAACAGTGAGCCAAAATAAACCTCTCCTCCTTTAAGTTGTGTGTTGGGTATTGTGTCCCAGCCATGGGAAAGGAACTAAGACAGTGGGCCAAACCCTTTTGGAGTGATGGGGATGCCCAACCAGATCTAATGTGCAGCTTGATGTTGGAGCAGAGGGCAGCAAGCAGAAGAGCTAAGCCCTGCCTGTGCATGATAAACCTGGGATTCTCCACGCAGCGGAACTGCAGAAGCCTCGGTCAGCTGAGGAGCCAGCGTGGCCCTCACTGTGGTGTCTCAGCAGGTTGCGGCCACCTGGTGAGTGCATTCTTGTGGAGGTGGGCAGCTAGGTTTACATATGAAGAACACAGGATCAAGCATCGAGCAAGACACATTTAAAAAATTCAAAATAGAAATTTTCTTCAAAATTACCTCATGTGGAGGAAATGCTGCTATATATGAGCCATTGTTTATAAGTTTACGGATACCTGGAAAAAGTACAGCAAAATCAAACTTGAGTTAGTTTCAGTGAAGAATTCCCTGAGAAGCATATATATATCCTGGGGACAAAGAATTGATGGAAAATACGAAATCGCTTGAACGTCCTCCACAACACCATCACCCTCAAGTAGAGCACGAGTGAGGAGGAGACCGCTGCTGAATCTTGTGTCCGTCAGCCTCAATGAGTGAGGAAGAATCACAAGACACCAGCAAGGCCTCCCTCAGCCACATGGTGACATGGGTGGCATTTTATTACTCGCTGCTTTAGGTTCCCATGAAGCAAAAGTAGCTTTTTTGGTTCTTCAAAACAGTACAGCTTGTTCAAAAGGAAGAAGCAGAATTCTGCACTTTCTCCCCAAATATCTCAAAATGTAACTGTAGCAAGAGGTCTTCATTTGTTTATACCAAGGCAGAAGGACATACAAGAAACCCAACATGACCTCCGTCTCTGCTAGGTTTCAGCTTGGTGGACACTTGCACGGGGTTTCGGGGAGAACTGGGAAAGGCTTTCCAGAGGGCACCTCTGTCTTGGTCTTTTTTATGTTAGTAAAGAACTAGAAACAATTGGACATCCAAAACTGAGGGTTCAGGGCTGGGGATTTAGCTCAGCAGCAAAGGGCCTGCCTGGCAAGCGCAAGGTCGTGAGTTCGGTTTCCGGAACCGGAGAAAAAGAAAAACCAAAAAAAAAAAAAAAAAAAAACAGGGATCATTTCGTTGTTATGGTCTTTCATTATATTAGATGTTTCTGTTTACGTAACTGTGTTTTAATGGATGCTTGTTGTAGAATATTGTACACCTGTTTAGAGCAATGTTGTCACACAGTACTTAACGTTTGAGAAAATACTCATAAAGGCAATTTTTTAAAAGCAGAATAATGCAAATAATGTATGTTTGTATCTTTCTAAACACATGAATATTTATAATATATATAGTACAAATACATATATTTCGTATAAAGTTGTAAAAATGAAAATTACACTTAGAGATAAATTTAATTTATCTCTTTAGTGTTTACACTATTAAGGAATCATTTATTTTGTTTTTATTCTCTTCTGTTTCTTATATATTCTACAAAGCACATAATACCTTTATAGTCATTTAAAAAAATTTTTTTTCCAGTACTGGGAATCGAACTCATGACCCTGCACTTGCCAGGCAGGTGCTGTGCCCCTGAGCTAAACCCCCAGCCCTTAAGAATATTTCTAAGCCTACTTAAGCATACGGTGCTATCAGGTGACACATGCTCAGCTCATATTCTGGATTTCTCAACTTTTACTTTTTAGACAATTTCTTAGGGAATTTTCCAGTTCTGGAAAAGTTCTGTTGTGTAATTACTTTGACTGCTCACTCATTAGTAAGTTGTTCATCAGAAAAGAACCAGAGGCTAAAGCAGTAACAACTTAAAAAGTAGAAACCATTCATTTTATGAATGTGGTACACCATCTTAATACAAATCAGCAGAGGCTGGTGGAAATTTTCTGTAACTGTGATTTTTTTAATTTCGAGAACATTAAGCCATTTCCCTACCATTTGGTATCTCCACTGAGGAATTTTTCAACCTTCTCATTAAAAAGACTGCTTGTTACCTGATGTTTTGTTTCGCAGCTCTATGTAAGCTTTGCAATTTAATTTACTTTTTCTAAATGAGACGCTCAATTTTCCTTGGTATTATGTGTGTGATAGCAGACAATTAATCACTCAAAAAACTCAGAAATTTAGAAAATTAAAACTAGCTGATATTTCACCATTTGAGATAATCTCTATGAGTTTTTAAAAACATATTTTGCTAGCATTATTTTCGTTTCATAAAACTGTATTTAGGAAACTGAGTTACATAAGACTTAGAGTTCTGTGACATGCTTCTTCTCACCTAATAGTACACTGTGGATATCTTTCAGAGTCAATAAATAGAGAACTAGCAACTTATTTTTAATCTCTATGAGTACAGAGTTTATGCTACACACTTTGTATAACATACAGCACATGATACACGCTCAGTAACTGCTATGAGGAGAGAGAATACATACAATTTTTAATGAATGCTTTGTGTAGTTGGTATTTAACTTGCCATTCAATCCTCAATGATGGACATTTTAGGTATTGTTAGTTTTATTCTATTGCAAAGAAGCGATGAACCACTTTCTCGCTGTACTGTCATTCAAAAGTCTGATTACTATGCTAAGGTAAATTTCAAAAGACAAATTTCTGTTCTACAGAATGTTGACATTTTACATTTGAGAAAATCTCTTCCAAAGTGATTTTTTATTTATTTGTTTGTTTAAAAAGTTACAAAATAGACAGTGTGTATAATTAGTGTTCAATGTGTTATATACTCATATTTAATGTAGGAAAGGCTTCAGTTGTTAAAAAAAAAAACCAGCAGTTTGTGGTATAACTCATACCAAGTTTCTGTCTGCTTTCACATCACGTCCTTACCCACTTTTGAGATGCCGTTCTCATACTTGGTGCGCTCCAGCATGTGATAGACTATCCTACTTCGAGTAGCATTGCTGAAGAAGGTGTCCTTATTATTTATTATGAAGCTGTTAAGAAAAAGGGGTTACATTTAACATTCTCAGCCAAGCACAGAGACCAGCCACAGTTCCAGATCCCTGGGTGATCATCCATCTCTCTTCTCCATTAAGGCTAATACTTGTAAAGTATAGTAGTTCAAATGAGAAATCTTTCTCTTACAAAACCAATTGAGAAAGGGTAAGAGAGACTTCATGGAAAATGCAAGGGGTTATCAAATATTCATGTTGATATCTTCTTTCAGTGTGTAAGGAGTTTAAGTGTTCTTTTGTTTTTTTTTATTTAGCATGGAACAAGTGGAGAATAGATTGTCTACTGATTCACATGAATTTTGTACCACCTAAAGCAATGCAGTTCCAAATGGATGGCATTAAAAATTAATATTATTCCTCCATGCCACAGTTTCCAGTTCAGCTCTTCTGGTTCTTAGAACTTAGCAGTGAGCAAGAGTCCTTCTTCCCCTCTATGCCTTACATTTTTCCTGTGTGTGAGGGAAAAACAGAGGGGCCAGGAGAGGACCAAAGTGCAAAGGAGGGAGGGGTTTGATTTGGTGCTGCATTTTTTTCATATTTCAGCCTCAAAAGAAGAAAGAAAGAAGAAAAAAAAA